AATTCTAATTGTGAATTTATTTTTTTGAGTTGGGGTCTCACTCTGTTGTCCAGGCTGGAGTGCAATAGAATGATCACAGCTCACCACAGCCTTTACCTTCTGGGCTCAGATGATCCTTCCACTTCAGCCTCCCATGTAGCTGGGACTACAGGCATCACCACCACACCTGTCTAATTAAAAAATAAAAACTTTTGTTATAGAGACAAGCCCTTACTATGTTGCCTAGGCTGGTCTCGAACTTCTGGGCTCAAGCAATCCTCTTGGCCCAGCATCCCAGTGTGCTGGGATCACTGTTCCCTGAGACACAACAAAATCAAAATTAGGCTAGTATATAACCCTACAACTGCCTCACAGTATTCAACTGAAAGGAAGAGTCACATATCTCTCACTTTAAATCAAAAGCTAAAAATGATGCTTAGTGAGGAAGGCATGTCAAAAGTCGAGAAAGGCCAACATCATCTAGAACTCTTGCACCACGTAATCAAGTTGTCAGTGCAAATAAAACTGTTTTTTTTAGATTGGAAAATATAGTTTATTTAGATAGAGAGAGAGATGAGATTCACCTTCCCAAGGTAGGGGAGGGGGACAAAGCTAGGAAACATGGCAACCATAGCTCAAAGAGCCACGTGGCCAGACCAGAGTTTAGTAAGGTGTTGGCTAAAGAAACACTTTTTGTTTTTTTTGGAGTTGGAGTCTCACTCTTGTCACCCAGGCTGGAGTACGGTGGCACACTCACAGCCACCACAGCCTTAACTTGCTGGGCTTAGGTGATCCTTCTGCCTCAGCTACCAAGTAGCTGGAACTGCAGACACACGCCACCACGCCCTGCTAGTTTTTGTAACTTATCGTAGAGATGAGGTCTTTCCAGGTTGCCCAGGCTGGTCTCTAGGACCCCTAGGGTCAGGCAGTCCTCTCCCTTTGGCTTCCCAAAGTGCTGGAATTACAGGCTGAGCCACCATGCCTGACCAGGAAACATTCTTAAAGGAAATTAAGCCAAAGCCCAATCTACAAGGCCCTAACTATCTTCAATTCCAATAAGACTGAGAGGTAAGGGACCCACAGAAGAAAAGTTGGAAGCCACCAGAGGTTGGTTCATGAGGTTTAAGAAGCCATCTCTGTAACATAAAAGTGCAAAGTGAAGCAGCAAGTGGTGATACGTAGCTGCAGCAGAATATCCGGAAGATCTAGCTAAGATCATTGATGAAGGTGGCTACACTAAACAACATATTTTATTATTTTTTTGAGTTGTAGTCTCACTCTGTCACCCAGGCCGGAGTGCAGTGGCACACTCCTACCAGCATCAACCTGCTGGGCTCAGGCAATCCTTCCAACTCAGCCTTCCAAGTAGCTGGAGCTACAGGCAGGTGCCACCATGCCCAGCTATTATTTTTTAATTTATTGTAGAGATAAGGTCTCCCCAAGTTGCCCAGGCTGGTCTCGAACCCATGGACTCAGGTAATCCTCTCAACTCAGCCTCTGAGTAGGCGTCTTTGAGTAGGCATCTCACTCTGTCACAGAGGCTGGAGCATAGTGGCAGTCTCACAGCCACCACAGCCTCAACCTCCTGGGTTCAAGTGGTCCTTCTGCCTTAGTCTTCCAAGTAACTGGAACTATAGGCACATGCCACCACGCCTGGCTAATTTTTCTTGATTTATTGTAGAGACAAGATCTCACCAAGTTGTCCAGGCTGATATCGAACCCCTGGACTCAGGCAATCCTCGTCTCCACCTCCCAAAGTGCTGGGATTACAGGTATGAGCCACCAAGCCCAGCTAACAACATATTTTCAATGCAGATAAAACAGCCTTCTACTGGAAGATGCCATCAAGACTTTCATAGCTAGAGAGGAGAAATCAATGCCTGACTTCAAAGATTCAAAGGACAAGCTGACTCTCGTTAGGCCAGCTAATGACTTTAAATTGAAGCCAATGCTCATTTACCATTCTGAAAATCCTAAGAAGTATGCTAAATCTACTCTGCCTGTGCTCTGTAAATAGAACAAAGCCTGGAGGACAGCATATCTGTTTAAAGCATTGTTTACTGGTTATTTTAAGCCTACTGCTGAGATGTTCAGGAAGAAACATCCTTTCAAAATATTACAGCTCATTGACAATACACCTAGTCACTCAAGAGCTCACATGGAGATATACAAAGAGATACATGTGGTTTTCATGCCTGTTAACAGAACATCCATTCTGCAGCTCATGGATCAGGTAATTATTCTGACTTTCAAGTCTTATAATTTAAGAAATACATTTCATAAAGCTATAACTGCCATAGATAGTGATTCCTCTAAGGAATATGAATGGTCAACTGAAAACTTTCTGGAAAGGATTCACCATTCTCGATGTCAACAATGACATTCATGATTTACAGGAGAAGATGAAAGTATCAACATGAATAGGGGTTTGGCAGAAGTTGATTCCAACTGCATGAATGACTCTGAAGGATTCAAGACTTCAGTGGAGGAAGTAACTGCAGATGTGGTAAAAATAGCAAGATAATTAGAATTAGAAGTGGAGCCTGAAGAGGTAATTGAATCATCGTAATCTCAAGACAAACCTTCAACAGATAAAGAGTTGCTTCATATAGATAAGCAAAGAAAGTGCTTTCTTTTCTTTTTTGAGCTGGGGTCATGCTGGAGTGCAATGGCATGATCATGGTTCAACACCTTCTGGGCTCAGGTGATCCTCTCACCTCAGCCTCCTGAGTAACTGGGACTACAAGCCACACCACCATGCCTAGCTAACTCTTGGATTTTCTGTAGGGGTGGGGTCTTGCTATGTCACCCAGGCTGGTCTCAAACTCCTGGGCTCAAGCAATCCTTCTGCCTCGGCCTCCCAAAGTGCCAGGATTATAAGTGTGAGTCACCCCACCTGGCAGAAAGTGGTTTCTTGAGATGGAATCTACTCCTGGTGCTGTGAACACTGTTGAAATGACAACAAAGGATTTAGACTAGTATGTAAATTTAGTTGATAAAGCAGCAACAAGGATTGAGAGAAATAACTCCAATTTAAAAGAAGTTCTATTGTGGGTAAAATGCTATCAAACTGTCACATGCTACAGAGAAATTTTTTGTGAAAGACAGAGTCAATCAATGTGGCAAACTTCATGGCTGTCTTATAAGAAATTATTACGGCTGGGCATAGTGGCTCAAGTCTGTAATCCCAGCACTTTGGGAGGCCGAGGTGAGAGGATTGCTTGAGCCAGGGGTTCAAGACCAGCCTGGGCAACTTGGTGAGACCTTGTCTCTACAATAAATCAAAAAATTAGCCAGACGTGGTGGTGCATACCTATAATTCCAGCTACTTGGAAGGCTGAAGCAGAAGGATCACCTGAGTCCAGCAGGTCAAAGCTGTGGTGGCTGTGAGTGTGCCACTGTACTCCAGGCTTGGCGACAGAGTGAGACTCCAAATTTAAAAAAAAGAATTACAGTCATTCTAACCTTCAGTAACCACCAACCTCATCAGTCAGCAGACATCAACATGGAGGCAAAATCCTGCATCAGCAAAAATGGTACTCACTGAAAGCTCAGATGATCGTTAGCATTTTTTAGCAATACAGTATTTTTTTTTTGAGTCGGAGTCTCACTCTGTCACCCAGACTGGAGTGCAGTGGCCACTCCCAGCCACCGCAGCCTCAACCTGCTGGGCTCCGGCGATCCTTCCGTCTCAGTCTTCCAAGTAGCTGACTACAGGTGCGCACTGCCACGCCCAGCTAACTTTTTTTATTTATTGTAGAGATGAGGTCTCGCCAAGTTGCTCAGGCAGGTCTCGAACCCACGAGCTCAGGCAATCCACCCACCTCAGCCTCCCAAAGCGCTGGGATTACAGGCTGAGCCACTGAGCCCAGCTGCAATACAGTATTTTTAATTAAGGTATGTGCATTGTTTTTAGATATAATGCTATTGCACACTTAATAAACTACGGAATAGTGTAAACCTAACTTATGTGCACTGGCAAACCAAAAAATTTGTGTGACTTGTTTTATTATTGCAATGTTCACTTTATTGCAGTGGTTTAGAACTGGACCTACAGTATCTCTGAGGTATGCTTGTATTAATCCCCATTTACAGACAAACTAACGCAAAGAAATTAGCTTAGTCACTCCAGCCAGCAAGTGGCAAAGTTAGAGTGTAAATCCAGACAATCTGGTGCCTTAGTTAATGCTTCTAGCCAATAATACAGTGCAGCATATTGGTATTTTCAGAACTGTTTCCTTTAGCCTTAATAGTGTTAAAAAAATTTTTTTTTTTTTTTTTTTTTGAGTCAGGGTCTCCTTCTGTCTCCCAGGCTGGAGTGCAGTGGCACAATCATGGCTCTCCCCAGCCTTGACCTTCTCGGCTCAGGTTCCTTCCTCCTTAGACTCCCAAGTAGCTGGGACCATACATGCATGTTACCACACCCAGCTAATTTTTTGCTTTTTGTAGAGACAAGGTCTTGCTATGTTACCTGGGCTGGTCTTGAACTCCTAGGCTCAAGCAGTCCTTCCACCTTGGCTTCCCAAAGTACTGGGATTACAGGTGTGAGCCACTGCACCCAGCTAAAAAAAAAATTTTTTAAGTGTTTTGAGGAAGAGCATTTAGGTGTCACAAAATCTCCACTCTTCTACACCTTCCTTCTTTACACATTTATCCTCATCTGCCAAGTCACTCAGTTGAATCTCATTTCAATATTTTCCTTGTTAGCCTTTGATGCTCTCATGTTAACTATCTTCTCCAGTGACTTGTAGTTCTTACTCAGAAACATGATCCTTTCAAGTGACTAGTATATTTAGGCTCAAATGAATAAAAGGCTAGTAATGATTAAAATGAACATCACGACAAATTATAAAGTGCCCTATTGCCAATAAAAACTGGCAAAGTGCTAAAGGCAGCTTTCTATTGGAACGCTTCTTGATTTACAGACCTTTGCCTTGTTCAGTTTGTTAAACAAGAACTGATGAAGTTATTGTTCCCGAAATAATTGTCAGAAATGTTACCTATTTGAGAGGACAATACCATTAGTTAGTTACAACATTTAATTGTAAGGATTGAGCAGTGGTTACTAGGCAAACCAATCCACACTGACAGTTTCGAAGATGCTAATTTTTAAATAAAGGTGACAAATACTAATCAGATTCTTATAACACTGTTCAATATCTACATAAACTTGATTCTGGACATAGTTACATACACAAAAGAAGAGAATGACAGTGTAATCACCAATAATTAAACCAAAGGTGTAATTTTCCAAATCACTTTTAGTAAGACAGAAAAAATTCTAGCTTTCTTAAAGTCTAAACGCAAAGCAATCTAAATCTTTTTCTACCTGAGATCAAAATAAGTTTCCTTTTTCCTATCTAAACATAATTCATGGTATTGAGGTAAATCTGAATTCATGTGATATACTTTGTTAAACTTTTCCAAAAAATTTTCAGCCCTGTTTCAGAGAGAAATCCTCATATTACATATATATGTATATATTTACATATTTTTTCTTTAAACACAATGACAAATTTATGACATTAATAGGCCTATAATGGAACCATGATACTACTAATTATATGAAAATAAAAAGCCATTCATTTATACAAAGTGTTCCTAAATGGTGGAAGAAGAAAAGGGATCACAGAATCTATGTACATATATAATCATTAAGAGTTCAGAAATTAAGCTTATGTTAAGAAAACTTATTCTTTTCTTTGGAGGAGAGGTTGCAAAATGGTGATCTGTAACAAAAATAATGTGTACAAAAGCTCCAAAACCAAGTATTAGTCCAAATTGGCAATAACTGCAACTTAAGTTAAAAACTATGCCCAACTAGATCTTTACTGTGATTATGCAACTTTTTGGTTTGTGGCCTGCAGGTTTTAACTGAGGTAATAACCTCTTTATCTCTTCCCCCACTACAAAAACAAAAACAAACAAGCAAACAAAATCTCTATAGCTTCATTCTTCATGGCTGTCTTTGGCAATGCTTCCAAATCTTGAAAGCAAAATAATCTGCAGAAGAAAATGAAGAGGGTGAAGATGCTATATGTGATGTATGAAAATCAATCTAAGCGTATGAACTGAAAAAGAAAATACTAGAAGAAAGACTGAGCAGCAGTCTACCCTCAAGAGAAACAGAAAAATAAAGAAGTGGGGGGTTGTTACTCCTCTGGCCCTTCTTCCACATTTTTTCTAAGTAGAGGAGTGTGGAACCAAAATTTCAAACTCTGGAAAGGTTATGACTTTGGAGGAGGAGCTAGGGAAGCGAATAAATGATAAAAAGTACAGTAGTAGCTTTAGTTTTCAATGAGTTTCTTTGCTCTGGCATTGGCAATGTCAATTCGATCTTTGTTGGTATCAGCCTGAAAAAAAGAAAAAGATAGTAGCATTATTTCATAAAGAAAATAAGTCTAATAAAAGTTGAATTTTATATACTTAGAATAATTGATACACTGAGAAAATTCAAGAAAAACATGAAGTCATGTTACAAAACTTATTGTGGGCAACCAGTGACAGAAGACGAAATCCATTTAGAAAAACCCTGGTGTATAATCATGACAATAGTATAACAGAAGACTTGGCCAGTATTCTATGAATTCTGTAACATATTTTTTCATATTTTAACGTGTCTGAAACTGGGATGCATATTCTAATCAATGGCATTTTCCATGCAATGAAATATGATAAGAGTGTACCTCTTTTATCATAAATCTGGACCTTGTGATAGTCCTCTGAACTGAATGATAAAATTCCATCTGGAGCAACCCTTGGTCTAACCCAGAAAGACTGAAATAGCCAGGTGCAGGGGTTCATGCCTATAATCCCAGCACTTTGGGAGGCAGAAGAGAGAGAATTGCCTGAGCTCAGGTGTCTGAGACCAGCCGGGGCAACTTGGCGAGACCTTGTCTATACAATAAATAAAAAAATTAGCTGAGTGTGGTGGCACAAGCTTGTAGTGCCAGCTACTTGGAAGGCTAAGGAAGGATCACCTGAGCCTAGCAAGTCGCGGCTGCAGTGGCAGTGAGTGTGCCACTGCACTCCAGTCTGCGCGACAGAGTGAGAATCTGACAAAAAAAGAAAGCATTTTATGAACCATTGTTTGCTTCAATGAAATCCACTGAAAGCAATTCAACAAGGAGTCAAGCTTAAAAACTCACCGTATCCTTTAAAGCAAGGGTGCCCAACCCCCTAACAGACGGTTCTGTTAGCAACCAGGCTACACAACCGGAGGTGAGTGGCCAGCAAGGGAGCAAAGCCTCATCTGTATTTTTTTTTTTTTTTTGAGTTGGAGTCTCACTCTG